ACAAAGTGGGAGGTGTCACAGTTGCTCTTTGCTGATGCACTGTGATTTTGGGAGATTCTGAAGTGAGAAGTTTGCAGAGGTTGAGGATTGAATTTGGTAGGGTATGTAAAAGAAGACCAATTAAAAGTGAATATAGCAATGGTTTTCTGTTTAAGGTTATGGGATAAAAAGATTAGGTGATGAAAGACTGGATATTCAGATTGGAGGGAGAGAGTATGGAGGAGGTGGATGTTTCACATATTTTGGAGTGGACGTGTCAGCAGGGGGGTCTGTGAAGGTATGAGGTGAAATCACAGTTTTGATGTGGGGAAAGGGTGAGTGGTGCACTTGGAGTCTGTGGTAGACAAATAACTTTGTCCTTGGAAGCAAAAAGGGGAATGTATGAGAGTATAGTGAGTATAGTTGTAACAACACTCTTGTATGGGGGTGAAACATGGGTGATGAATGTTGCAACGAAGAGAAGGCTGGAGGCAGTGGAGATGTCATGTCTGAGGGCAATGTGTGGTGTAAATATAATGCAGAGAATTCGTAGTTCGGAAATTAGGAGAAGGTGTGGGATTACCAAAACAATTATCCAGAGGGCTGAGGAGGGATTGTTGAAGTGGTTTGGACATGTAGAGAGAATGGAACAAATCAGAATGACTTCTAGTGTATAAATCTATAGTGGAGGGAAGGCAGGGTAGGGGTTGGCCTAGGAAGGATTGGAGGGAAGAGGTAAATGAGGTTTTGTGTGCGAGGGGCTTGGACGTCCAGCAAGCATGCATGAGCGCATTTGATAGGAGTAATAGGAGACAAATGGTTTTATACTTGACGTGCTGTTGGAGTGTGAGTAAAGTAACATTTATGAAGGGATTCAGGGAAACCGGCAGGCCTGACTTGAGTCCTGGAGATGGGAAGTGCAGTGTCTACACTCTGAAGGAGGGGTGCTAATGTTGCAGTTTTATAACTGTAGTGTAAAGCACCCCTCTGGCAAGACAGTGATGGAGTGAATGATGATGAAAGTTTTTCTTTTTCAGGCCACCCTGCCTTGGTGGGAATCGGCCAATGTGTTAATAAAAAAAAAATGTTCCAGAATCATGTCTCTTTACGTAGGGCACAGGTTATAGGACATTCTGGTAGGATGACACTACCAGTGGTATCAAAAATGAAAGGATGTTGCACAAGTTTTGCGCATGGGTTATTATTGAGGTTTTTGAATTTCTCGCCACTTGTCCATATATCCATCTCAAAAACCACCTTAAACTCTGGCGGTCAGCATCACTTTGCTCTTAAAGGGGGTGTTTATACAACATGACATTAGTGGGAATCCCTGGAGGTTTGCCATGCTATTTGCTTAGCGGGTGCTCCAGTTGGAACTGGTGCTCCCAAAGGTACTAGTGGTCCAGATTTTTTTATATATGTTGACTTGAGTGTTAAGGCGCTTTTGTATTGACCAGGGTGTCTCAGCTATTGTGCAAATTTGGAGGCAGGAAAAATAAAACGTTGATCTATATTTGGAGCACTAGTGGTAATAACATAGATCTATGCTTGGACAGTTTCAAATGTTAATATATTTATGTATGTTATTTATTTTATTATTATTATTATTTTATTAACACACTGGCCGATTCCCACCAAGGCAGGTTGGCCCGAAACAGAAAAACTTTCACCATCATTCACTCCATCACTGTCTTGCCAGTAGGATGCTTTATACTATAGTTTTTAAACTGCAACATTAACACCCCTCCTTCAGAGTGCAGGCACTGTACTTCCCATCTCCAGGACTCAAGTCCGGCCTGCTGGTTTCCCTGAATCCCTTCATAAATGGTTCCTTCCCTCACACTCCATCAGCAGTCCTTGTATTAAAAAAACCATTTGTCTCCATTTTACTACTATCAACGCACTCATGCATGCTGTCTGGAAAAGTCCAAGCCCCTCGCACACAAAACCTCCTTTACCCCTCCTCCAAACTTACCTAGGCCAACCTTCTACCCCACCTTCCTTACAAACAGACTGATACCACTCTTGAAGTCATTCTTGTTTTGCTCCATTCTCTCTACATGTCCAAACCACCTCACAACCCTTCCTCAAGCCCTCTGGATCAACAGTTTTGGCAATCCCACACCGCTCCTAAACTTCAATCTACGAATCTCTGAATTATATTCTCACCACACATTGCCCTCAGACATGACATCTCCAACTGCTCCAGCCTTTCCTCGCTGCAACATTTATCACCCATGTTCACACTTACAGGAGGTAGGTTGATTGAAAACTATACTCTCATACTTTACCCTCTTTGCTTCTAGGACAAAGTTCTTGTCTCCACAGACTCCTTATGGGACCGCTCACCATTTTCCCTATCAATTCTATGATTCACCCATCTTTTGTTAGACCATCGATGACATGTACACTCCCATATCTGAATATTTCACCTACTCCATACTCTTCCTCCATTCTGATATCCATTCTTTCAGCACCTATTCTTTGTGTTATCCTCTTAACTACACTTTCCTAGTATCTCTTTCAATTTTCTTCTTCTTTGAATTACCCTACCAATTTAATCCACCAACCTCTGCAATTCTCTTCGATCACCTCAAGAAGTCACAGTGTCAGCAGCAAGAGCAACTGTGACAACTCCCACTTTGTGTGATCTTTATCTTTTAACTCACGCCTCTTGCAAGACCCTCGCTTTTACTTCTCTTACATCACCATCTATAAAATATATTGAAATAAAACCATGGTGACATCACACACATTGTCTAAGGCTACTTTTTTACTGGGAAATAATCTCCCTTTTTCTTTTACATATCTACTTGGGCCTCTCACTTTCTCATTAAAAAACCTCCTGTTTTCAGTAACCTCCTCCTTACCATTCATCTGCAACATCTGCCACATGGTCACCCTAGCATCCCTGTCATACGCTTTTCCTAATCCTAAATGCCACAAAAACCTCTTTAAGTCTTATCTAATTACGGTTCATTATATGTTTCACTGTAAAACACCTGGTCCAACTATCCCTACCTTTCCTAATGCCCGCCTTGTTCATCTGCTATTATGCTCGTCTTACTGTTAATTCTTTCAATAATAACTTACCATACGCTTTACCAGGTTTACTCAAACAGACTTATCCCCTATAATTTTTGCACTCTCTTTTGTTTTCCCTATGCCTTTTACATGGAACTATGCATTCTCTTGCCAATCCCTAGGTACTTAACCTCTTCATACTTTATTAAAATAATTGCACCAAACCACTCCATAACTATTCCCCACCTGCTTTTAACATTTCTATCCTTATCCCATCAATCCCAGCTGCCTTACCCCCTTTCATTTTACCTACTGCCTCACGCACTTCCCCCACACTCACAACTGTATGTTGTGTATCTTTATACGTATATGCTTCTAAGCTATTGTGTTCTGAACACCTCTGCAAAAACAGTGATTATGTGTGAGTGAGATGAAAGTGTTGAATGATGATGAAAGTATATTCTTTTTGGGGATTTTCTTTCTTTTTTGGGTCACCCTGCCTCGGTGGGAGACAGCTGACTTGTTTAAAAAAAAAAAAAAAATTAATATTTTGGAGTGGACACTTGTTTCCTGATAAAGTAGCATATGAATATCAGGTACAGGACACATTTTCTTGTTTGTCAATCTGATTTAGCTTGACTAAATGCAAAACTTAGCAGAAGGCTGACAATTGCAAATTATGATACTTACAGTACTATACACCTGAGTTTAACTTAACCGTAGTGTATGACAGAAGTTAGGGGCCAAGTTTAATGTAGCCAATAAATATACATGCAAGTATATTTGTTTCTGAGAGCACACACAAACCTTATAGTGACTAAGAGGTTTATTTAGGTTACAGGTGCGAAACAACGACAAATATTTGACACGCATGCTCAAAAGAAAGCCACATAATATGTAAAGCATTTAGGGCAAATTTACCGATGCCTCCGACTTACAATGGGCTTTCTGACCAGTATTCATACCTTAATGATGTATATTAGAGTTGATTTCCTCTATTCTGTTTATCTCAGTATACAGGACACTACTGTATAAACATCTAAAAATATACCAGAAATGTTATAAATGGTGCAAAGGTGACATTATAACAGTATCAAACATGGTTGACACAAACTCACTACCATTATAGTATGCTCCTCACTTAGTGACGAATTTGTTTAACAACGTGGACTTAGGAACAGAACTCCATCGTTAAGTGAGGAGAGGCTGTATTTCTAGTCATAACATATACTTTTTGGCATTGTGTGGCATTACAGCATGAGTAATTCATTCCAGTCACAAGGTGGCTGAGATTTAAAAAAAATAGGTAGTACACCTACCATCCGACTTACGACCGAGCTTGGTTCCGAGAAACCGGTCGTAAGTCGAAATGGTCGTAAGTCGAACTTTACTACTGAATATCAACATCACATTTTTGTAATGACTTTATTTCATTGTTTTATTTTGGTATTTCATGTTTTACTTTACTTTTTTATGCTGTTAGTACTGTATTTTATACTGTAAGGTTTAGGATAAACACTGTGTACAACACAAATAGTTGTTTATTTCCCAGAAATTTGGCATAAAAAACACGGTCGTAAGTTGAGCAGGTCGTAAGTCGGATGGTAGGTGTATATCAATTCAATGATGCACAATTTATGGAGCAATAGAATTAAGACAATGACAGTAGTGAAAAGTGGAATGGTGATACCGACAGGATGTGGAAAAAGACACTTATGTACAGTTCAGGACATAATAGAGGAAATGTTCCACCATGAGTGGTAAAAATATTTCCTCTAATAAATGTCCTGAACTGTACACAGGTGTCATTTGTACACGGTAAATGTCCTGAATTATACATAGGTGTCTTTTTGCACACAATAAATGTTCTGAACTGTACATAAAGTGTCTTTTTCCATACGATGACAATAGTGAATGAGTATTTATAATTACTTGATAAAACATTCAAGTTAGATTTAATGGATGTTTTATAACCATGTTATTAAATGTGTTGGCAGATAGGGAACTTGTGACATTGTCAGGCAGAGAGCTCCATATGTTGTGGAATGGAAATAAGAAAACAAGGGATTATGCTGATGTTTACAACACCTTGAGAAAATAATTTCACATAATCTGGCAAGATAAAATTCCATGAAATTGCAGTTGTCTTTTAACATGGAGCATGTTAATATAATAGCTTCATAAGTTGACCTTCTCTAGGATCTAACAATAATGGTGTTATCCAGTTGGTCCGCTGCAATCATGTCTCCACTTGGCAGGTGTGAAGGAAAGGGTCAAACTTCACAGAGTTTCTACAATGCCCTTACTGCAAAACCATATATGGAGTTAAACAAGGCAACCAACCTCCAGGAAGTATGGAGAGCCAAAGAATATCCAACAGTCTTCCAGGACATTCTCACTGTGGTACTATTATCATTAAGTATAGGTATGTTGCATATATACTGGTATTATTTTTTTCAATGATTTGATTGACAGTATAAGCATGTTGGAAAATATGATTAATGTTGATTTTACTTTCAGATGTAAGATATGAGAGTGTAGGTGATACAAGTGCAAATCCTCAGATTCTGATTCCTTAAATAGGAAAGCTGTTCAAAACAAGACTTAATTTTTTAATACAGTATGTGAATTAAAATGGAATAATGTGAAATTTTGAAGCAGTCACAAATAATGTAATTACTGAACATTGTCATTTATGCTGAAATTTTCATATGCTCCTGTATAATTTTGTTCTCATCTTCTTTTCTCTGCCTATTGTAATCATGTCAGAGGCATACAGATTACGCCATGACTAGTAGTGTAAAGGGGAAAAGTTTATTTGGTCTGTTGTATAGGTAGGTAGTTTTTACTTGACTCACAAATATAGTAATGGACCGATTGCATAATACATACCCGGGCGGGAATTTTAAGTTTGGTGGTGCCAGTGTATATGGTAATGGGAGCCCTTTGATTGAACTTTGTATAGAATAGGGAGTTTAGTTATAGGTTATACATATTTTAAGAAAAAGAGGATAAATAAGTATACAAGAGATATGATGTGGCGAAAAATGACAGTAGTTTGTTGGATTATGTATTGGTAGATAAAAGACTGTTGAGTAGACTTCCGGATGTTACATGTTTGATAGAGGGGCCACAGATATATCAGATCACTTTCTAGTAGT